ACTTCTCTGCACATAATACCTTTACAAATCCCGACATTATCATTGTCTCATCCACAATGGCACCCAAATTCTCATCTCATACAATCGATGACCTTCACAGTAGCGATCAATTTCCTATAATCACATCCCTTTTCATCCCCAAATCGTACAACGTTAAGCCAAGGTCCAAATTTCTAATCGAAAAAGCAGACTGGAAAAAATTCAGTAATATTTCCGCATGTTTATCCAATACAAGGCGCTCTAAAGAAAACGTAAATGCGGAAGCATCTGCTATTAAGACTATTACACAGCTCTACCAAAACAAAAATTGTTTTTGTTACCCTGGATATCTTAGTGAATTTCGATGCTTTCAAGTGTCCAGATTAAGACCTTATTCATGAAAATATTGAATATGCTCTGGTTTTTGAGATTTGTACATCTGATATTTTGATCAACTACCGTCTTATTAGCCATAAAATTAATTTTTTCAGTCATGAGTAGTGTTCTGCGCACCTTTTTCACGCCTACAAACATCAAGTGAAGGATATGGTCATACTTGTATATTAATGCGGTAAAACTAAACATCTTCTCGGACGCTAGTTGTCAAAAGGGGGAGAGTGGGCTGGAAACTTGCAGGCACTTTCTCCTCCATTGATTGACAAACCAGAAGACATATCCAAAACTGGCATTAGCCGTCTCAACAAGTTTGTGAGATTGAGATTGTTTAAGTGAGATCTCTCTCAGTATCGACCTCTCAACCTAACCTAACCATTTGTAAACAAATTTCCGAACTTAGTATGGCTAAGTTGAAAGGAAGAAAATTTGATGGCCCTCAAATACGGCAAATAATGAATGATACAGATTCTATCAAGGTTAGAACTCTTCCGGAAATTGAAGCTTGGAAAAGGTTTGTTTAGATATTCGAAAGTTTCCTGGGCAATCACTAAGAATATGTGAAAATATTCTGACAAACTGTAGCTATCTCTAGGAGAAAATTTGAACTATCAAGTTAAACTATCTAGGTAATAATATGGATAAGTTTTTAAATAATTTTGGAAACTACGGTAAGGAACAGAGAGAACGGTTCAACTAGAATCTAAAAGTGATGGAAAAAAGGTATCAATGTTACTGGAATCGTCATATGATGGCAGATTACTGCTAGTTCTTAAAAAAAGATTGTCGACTGGAAAATTATAAAAGGAAGCTCATCAATGGCGTTTTATTGAAATATATTATGTTTTCATATATCTTCGACATTTGACTTTCTGTTTATTCCAAGGCAACGAAATGGCCGACAAACGAGCGAAAGAAGGAAACAAAGAACCTCTGCATACGTCTCTATACTTCACCACAAAAGATATTAAGAACTATGTTAAACAACACATCCTCTATTGTTGTCTAAACGATTGGAGACACAGCAATCATCACTACAAACTCTCAAACCCATCTAGCCAAAAACCACAGTATTCTAATACTATCCCCTATAAGAATATAAAAACATTCATACGCATCAGTATTGGACATACACTTGCTACATATGGACACCTCTTGAATGGTACAAACAAACCCACATATTCTTCTTGTGGTTCGGAAGACATCACAATACCTCATATTCTCGATAGCTGCCCTCACTTACAACAACACAGAGATTGGATATTTGGGGACAACAAACCATCTGACTTGCTAAATCGGACAGAGGACAATAACATTAATCTTTTTGAAACAAATTTTCAAATCTGCAAATTAAATATCTAATATACAAATAATTATAGTACAAGCTAAACATAAATTTGCCTTTGACTTAAATAATATAATTGGAATATTTTAATCTGTAAAATTAAATTAAGCCGAAAGCCCTAGCAGTCAGTGCTTTACAAATAATTTCTTATAATTATTTCTCTTTTAAATAAATAAATAAAATAAATATTACTGATGAGTTTTTTACGAGAGTAACAAATTGCGCAAATCTACCATATACAAGTATGAACAAAATTCAGGCCAATCAAAGATTGCACTGTTGATGAAGAACGAGTTGTTTTTGCCACATCATGATGAGTGTACTCAAAATACCTCGGTATAAGATGTTTTACAATTCGGTAATAGGAATGTAAATTTTTATCGAAAATATGACGCGCAAAAGATGTTCGCAACAATTTACACATTGTTGATATATAATATCAACGATCCACGAAACCCTTAGATCAACAATGAATCAAAACAGTTGCCTCCGGATACGCAGTCATTCTGCACTTGGCGAATCGTATTCCAAATTCAGAAATTAATTTATTCTTCGACTACTTCCCAACATACCAATTGTTGAGTGAATATTGAAATATAATATGAAATATTGAAACAAAAAAAATTTATGCTGTTGGTACAATTTGAATAAATAGATTTTCGAATCCAAGTTTGCCAGCTGAAAAAGAAATGAAAGTACAATAAGAGAGAGAGGTTCATCAGCAGAAGGCATAAGTTGCATAATAATGTTATTGTCACTCGCTGGTACGACAATAAGCTTGTGAACCAATTTTGTTGGTATCGGGGAAAAAGACAAAGCTAAGATAAGGGATAAGGAAAACAAAAATTTTGTACTTATCGATAGACCCCAAGTTGTACGAATGGATAATGTGTGTATGGGCGATGTGGATTTATTAGACAAATGATCCAATACTACCGGATAAATATTCGTACAGTTAAGTGGACTCTGAGAGTTATTATGCACTTTGTAGATTTAGCTATAACTGTATCAGGGATGGAGTACAAAAAAGATTGCATTAATAAAGGACTCCCGAAAAATAAAATATTTGATTCAATGATTTTTCGCATTGCAGTTGCTCGTACACTACTCACTGCTCAACAAGAGGAAACATTTTTTCCTCATCTAAAATGCAAGAAAGGTAGGCCATCAAAGGCCTCATTAAGCCCACCCTCGAATCCGATAACAGTGAACCCTTGCATTTGGCACCAATTCCCAAAAAACGCCAGAAAGTTTTTCAATAAGCTCCAGAACCAGAAATCCGTCAAGAAGATGCACCAATATTTGTGGAAGAGTGCAGGACGTTGCAAAGCGAACTATTGCAATAAAAGTTCCTTCATTTTTTCAAAAAGTGCAACGTATACCTACATATGTGTTAAACGTAACTCATATTGTTTCGAAAATTTTCATAAAACAAAATAATACTTTTTTATATCCACCTATTACATATTCTGAATTAATATACTTTGATTTGTACTACTTTCAAAAATTAGTGTCAATAAATGGTGGTCCATGTCGAATATATTGGACATCAGATAACTGTACTGTCCAAAAAGGTACCTATACTTTTTCAATAGCCTCTCTTTCAATCGTGAGTAGTGTCAAGCCGTCATGTTTTTTTGTTTAGCATTGTTTGGCATTTCAGCATGAAAAGACCTATGCCTGAGTAAAGTTTACAAATCGTTCAACTTTATTACGAAAAATCACGTTCTGTAAAGAATGTGTTTCGCGCGCTTCGCTCCTCTTTTGGTCGACATAATCGGCCTACTGAGCGCACTATTCGCAACACCATCACCCATCTTGAGACCAAGTATTCATTATGAAATAATATTCGACCGAATAGACCACGTCCTGCACGCAGTAGAGAAAATATCGCGGCCGTAGCTGAGAGTGTAGACGAAGACCGTGAAGGGTCGATTCGGCGCCGTTCACAGCAACTCGTGTTGACGTATGGAACGACTTGGCTCTATGGGCTTGTGAAAAGTTCCAAGAAGATTCGATGCTTTCGAGCAAAACTTTTTACCGCGATGAGGCCCAAATCTGGCTTAGTGGGTCAATTGGGATGTAAGCAAGCAGAATTGCCGCTTTGGAGACAAAGAGCAGCCTGAAGTGGTGTGGTTTGAGGTCCGGTGTAATCATCGGTTCAATTCTTCTTCAACAGTGATGCCGGTGAGAACGTAACCGTCAATGGCGACCGTTATTACGACATAATAATCGACTAATTGATCCCTGAAATTAAAGCTCGTGATCTGTGGGACAATTGGTTTCAACAAGAGAGCGCCTCTTCCCACGCATCGCGTCAATCAATGAATTTATTGAGAGAACACTTCGGTGAGCAGATAATTTCACGTTTTGGGCCGGTCGATTGGCCGCCAAGATCATGTGATATCACATCGTTTAGACTTTTTCCTGTTGGGATATGTCAAGTCTAAAGTCTATGCGGAGAATCCCGCTTCTATTCAAGATTTGGAGCAAAGCAGCACGTCATTCGCCAGTTATTGGACAAAACGGATGGACCATCTAAGACGTCGCGACCAACATTTAAAAGATATAATATTCAAACAAAAAATGCAAATGAATGTTCTTTCGAATGATAATAAACTTTTGGTATTCTTTAAAAAATTCATTATTTTGAATTCTTAATTTCTAATAGTATTAAATATTATATATATTATACATAATGGACAACGAGCGGGCATGCGACATTTTGTATAACAAGACGTGCCAAAGAAGGCTGCATATGCAAACATCGCCCGAGGGCTAGGAGCAACAGGTTGGTAGATTTATATTAATATATTTATATGTTGTTATTAATTGTTTATACTGTGTTTTTACTAGAATAGCAATGTGTAAAGCGGTAACAGTCCCTACGTGAAAGATTTACTAGGGAAATGTGAAAGGTTGAGGCCCCTTACGGCAGTGCGGCGCTCATTTACCACACTTGGCCATTGCTAAAAGATATGGACTTCTTAAAACCGTTTGTTAAAGCTAGATCGTAAGTTCATATTTATTTACGTGTAATGTATTAAAGACATATTTATTTATATTTATTATTCTATAGAAATCGCTGCACATTAAATATAATTGATTTACAAAAGTGGCCGGAGTCGTCGCTGCTGGTTGATGCCCCCAGTAGTCCTATTCCACGGTCCACACAGTCTAAATAATAATAACAGCTATATTTGTTCATCGAATTCGTGGTTTTAAAATTTTTCTGTTCTTCCTCTTCTTCTCCTTACCGTTCTTCCTCTTGTTCTTCTTTTTCTTCTATTTCACTTTGGATACAATTAAATTGCCCCAAAAGCGATTCCTCATCGGTATCGGTTTTTAACGAAACACGCGTATCGAAACTTATCTCAACAAGTAGTTGTTTAGGAGCTCCGTACATAGAAGAAAAAATTGAATTCTGTTGGTGATACCCTCTGGTTGAGTTGAATTACTGTTGAAAACTGTTGTTTTTCCACTCCTGTAAAAAGCAGATGTCGTATCGCAGCGTGTACAAATTTTCGATTGATTTTGAGCTTTTCCTGGTTCAAAAAAGTAAATAATCTAATAATCTAATAAATAAATAAACATCTTCACCAACAACGATAGTTGTATTTGTCATATTAAATTGCTCATCGCTTTCTTTTAATGGCTGCAGCAATAGAACACTCTCGAGTATAATTTTTACGACATTCGCTATGTATTGCCACAGATTTTTATTTTTTGAGAAATTCCATATATCCATCATCTCTTTCAGTACTTGCATTGAAAACTGTCTTCATACCACGATCAACAGTAACAGTTTCACGTTCAGTTAAAAGATGAGTACAAATAAAACAATATTCTGACACTTTGTTATAAAATTAAAAACTGTACGAAATATGTTATAGAAGAGGTTAACTTAAAAACAACACATGTTTTCAGTACGAAGTGGCGCACAAGAATAACGGCATATACAAGGTGATTTCCAAAGTAAACAGGACTCTTAAAAAAAAGACAGAGCAAATGGTTTTATCGTCAAAATCAATTAATTTTATTCAAAATAGTCTTCTTCTGTTTTAATACAGCTTTTTGCACGGCCCAAAAGAATGTCGAACAAGTGTTTTAGCTCGTTGCCCGGTATGTCCGCCAGTATTCCAGTGCAAGCCTTTTGAATGGCCAGGCATACCAATATAAAGCAGGTATACAACCCTAGCCATGCGGACAAGTGAACAAAAGACAAATGTCTAATACCCTAAATACTCTCCAACTCTTCACGCCATTCTCCTTTTAGTATTCCATGTTCTGCGCTGTCTGTGTCTACAAATGTATCTAGACAATACCAACGTTTATGATCATTCAAAATTACAAAATTGGGCAGAACCAAGCACGTAATCACAACTGTTTCTCAATTCTCTGGGAAAAGAAGAACACGCCAGCGAGCAGTTAAAATACCAAAGCAATTTTATATTACTCGCCGAGCTCTCGATAACCGGTAATTGAAAATTGCTTTGTTTCGTGGAACCGCGATAAGGTCGCGTTTAGTTGTCTTTCACTGGAAACGCTGTGTCACCCACAAAAAATGTGGAAAATGTGTTGTAAATTCATTCTATAAAGGAGCTCTTGGTGGTAGTGCTAATCGAGGAGTGCTTGACCAAACGTACATTGCTTAAAAACACCTTGAAATAAAATTAAAATATGTAAATATTGAAGTGTTTTAAATCATTTAGTGTTAACTCTGTCACTTTGTCCGTCATAGCTACGAATGCTGGCAGATGTAAACATATACCTAGCAGCACAGTTTGCCATTAAAACTAAACTATAAAACTTTTTATAGTAATAAAACAACGAGTCTCATCTATCTCTTGTCCATAGCTCCTAAACCGCTAAAGATATAATAACAAAATTCACTGAGAACGAACGCTTTGAGCACCTCTATCGACAGTGTGAAAATAGTGAAACCGGGTGACAACCCCGCCCACTCCCCACGTTACGGTACTGTTATAAACTAATAAAAGCGTGATAAACCAAGAAATAAACACGCCAGAGATATTAAATTTTATCTCTGGAATGGTATGAAATGATTTTATAGGAACCGCGTTCAAAAAGGAATAAAAACCATGACATATACGGGGGAATGGTTCGTTTAGTTCGAAATTTGATCTACAGGATTTTAATAGTAAAGGTCAAAACTGCCTCGGAAAGCGTAAAAATTGTTAGTAAACAGCCTCTAACTTGTCATAACGGATTTGGTAGCTTGGGTTCCATACAACAGAGCCATATTCCAATATAGGTCTAACCAAAGATGTAAAAAGTGTTTTAGTAATATGCGGATCTCTAAATTATTTGGGCCATCGTTTAACAAAACTGAGGACAGCTTTTGCTTTCTTTCCGTTCATTGTTTTCATTTTATTAAATTTAAATTAATTTTCATATTTTGGCATTCGTGTTGGATAATGAAATTTTGTAGTAAATCCAATTCTTTCAAATATTTGATTGTTTACTTGTATTTTACAATTAGCAAAATGACTAAAATATATTTTGTTTATAAATATTTTCCTATTATCACAATTTTGAGTAAGCTCTTAATTTTGTGCATTCATAATTAACAATGTATCATACTCTATCGTTGTTAATATAGTATTGAATTTAAATATATAAGTAATTTTTTTATTTTTGCTTATTTTTAAACCTTTTAATGCAATATCTTTTTATACTCTTGCAACATGTTGCTATAGAGTATAATATTTTGCTCACTTAACGGCTGTGCGTATCACCTAAAACTAATCGAGATAGGTATAGGGTTATATATAATATATAAAAATGTTCATGAGGACGAGACGAGTTGAAATACGGATGTCTGTCTGTCTGTTCGTCCGTCCGTTCAAGCTGTAACAATAAATTAAGATATATATTTGTAACTTAATACAAAAAATTGTAAAGGGTGTCTTTTTTAGAGCTCTAGAGCTTTAAATTGCAATTAAACAATGATGGATTATTCGATTGACATGAATTTTATTTACCCGAAAGATAATCTTGTAGCATTACATTTTAAATATTATTTCTAGCATATGACCGCCACGGCTGGCTTGGATGTAGTCCAATCTGGATGCCGTATATCGGCAATAACACGGCGAATGTTGTCTTCCAAATGGTTAAGCGTTTGTTTGTATTGGAGGCCAATTCACAGGTCTAAAATGTGAAATTAAGCGGGTACTTAGCCCTTGTTTACTTGTTATTTGTTATTTTTTAGTTGCTCTATAAGTTTGAGCATTTAGGCGACTAGCCTGTGGAGGGTGAAAATCGCTCAAGGATGTGAGTATCTTCCAATATTGTATAATAAGTGCCGATTATTCTATGCACTGAACCGATTATGTTACACATAAACGATTGTGGTCAAGATAGACCAATTTTTAAGGCGAAGTGGTTTCACCTGCTCGTCCCAGTCTGTTTCTGTTTCGAATAGTCATAATTATCGGATCAAGATTTTTGCTGTTTTCATAATTGGTAAAAGCCATCTTTCGGGGTTGAAAAGTTTTCTCACAGCGAATAAAGTTTGCCTTTTTATACCCTGGCCAGGGTTCCTTTTATAAATAAAACAGGTATTGACATGTTTGCTACTTTGTTTTAACAACTATTCTTTGCTCAAAATGCTGATAATTTATTATATTTTGGCAAATTTAGCATTGATGCATTACCAAATATAATCAATTGAATTTCAGTTAGAATTATTAATTTTTTAATAGAAAAATTTGCAATACAAAAACTTTTAATAATTTTTATACGTAATTAAAAAATTTAAAATTGAAAAAGTATGATAAGATAAAAGTTACAATATTTTTACCTTCAAATGCGAAGTAAAATTTGAAGATGTAGTTCTCTATAACGAGCCTTTTATTATTTTTTTCTGGTGACAAAATTTACATTCAGCTTCAGATTGGTTTAGGTTTAGATCCGACTCAGTCTCATTGTACTTTCTTTCAGTTTCATCTTCTACTTGTACATCACGTTCAGACTGACTATCACGTTCACTATGAATCAAAATGTCGCTATTTTGATCGTTCTGGAGAACATTCTGACTTGTAACATCCCTAAATTGTTGTAAGCTTTGTAAAGAAACAAAACGAAATTCAGTTTAGTTTTTATTACTTGGTGACTCCAAAGAGAGCTCACTAAGTTGATCTTCAATTGCATTAAATCTTAATCAACGTATCTTGACAGGTGTTTCACTCTCCTGTGACCTATAACCAATAAATTTTCAATAGCAAAGTTTTAATCCAAGATGAATGGATTTATAATTGACTGCACTTACATTATGATCGCCACTCACGTAGTTTTTTTTATACTCTCGCAACCTGTTGCTACAGAGTATAATAGTTTTGTTCACCTAACAGTTGTTTGTATCACCTAAAACTAATAGAGTTAGATATAGGGTTATATATATAGGTATAAATGATCAGGAGGAAGAGACGAGTTGAAATCCGTGTGACTGTCTGTCCGTCCGTGCAAGCTGTAACTTGAATAAAAATTGAGATATCTTTATGAAACTTTGTAGACATGTTTCTTGGTACCGTGAGACGGTTGGTATTGCAGATAGGCGTAATCGGACCACTGCCACGCCTACAAAACGCCATTAATCAAAAACAAATAAATTGCCGTAACTAAGCTCCGCAATAAGATACAAGACTGTTATTTGGTACACAGGATCACATTAGGGAGGGGCATCTGCAGTTAAAATTTTTTGTTTAAAGTGGACGTGGTCCCGCCTCTGATAGGTTTAATGAACATATCTCTTTTTAAGAACTTCTACCTATAGTGTGAAAATAGTTGAAATCGGGTGGCAACTCCGCCCACTCCCCATATAACGGTACTGTTAAAAACTACTAAAAGCGCGATAAATCAAGCACTAAACACGCCAGAGACATTAAATTTTATCTCTGGGATGGTATGAGATGACTTTATAGGAACCGCGTTCAAAATTAGACAGTGGGCGTGGCACAGCCCATTTTTAGGTGAAAACCGATATCTTGGGATCTGCTTAACCGATTTCAAACAAATTCGGTGCATAACGTTCTTTTCATATTTCTATGTTATATTGCGAAACTGGGCTAAATCGGACTACAACCACGCCTATTTCCCATATAACACCATTTTCCATTCGCAGCGTGGTCTGAGTATACATGTATTTTACTCGTACTTACAGTTGTTATTACACCCTAGAGTAAGTCAGTTGATTTCTGACAACTCAGAAGTGATAAAGGATACCCAAGTTATTGATGAGATGTGAGAACGCCTCAATATTACCGTTTTTTATAACATTTGGTATCAAGATTAGATATGCATATTTATATCTGGTAATTTAATTTAAAACACCCAACATTAATTACTAATAAAATTATTATAGTATATTGACCGTTTAATATAATATAAAGAGCAACTATTTAAACTTATTTTTTCTTTTAATGATATATTAAAACAACAAATTTTTGAACTTTCAACCATAAATAAAATCAATTAAACTTATAAGCTGCCAAATAATAAATTTTGTGTTTTTTTTCTTTAAGTGAAAATGTTTACTCCGGAGCAACAGATCACAAAACGTTTCATCAAACACTTTGAAATTTCGCGTTTCCTTTTGTTGTCATTGTTTTTGCAAGGGATGTTGAGCTGCAGTTACAAATCTCTCCTTTCATAAATTTTTTTGACAGGATTTCAATAAGACCATTCCAGTCGTTCCAATTATTTAACATCAAACTTACCCGATCCAGTCAATGGTTAAAGTCGAGTAGGAGATTTATGGCCAAATCACACAGAACTCTTGCTCTGTTTTGCGTCAGACATTTGTTATGACGTTCGATCTACACTTTTGTGTCAGACGTTCACATAAAATATTTTC